TACGATGTAAAGCACATGTTAAAATATTAAAAGGGAATGTTTTATTAATGAATAGAATCAAGAGATATTTTATTTTTTATATATTTTCATTTTTTTATTTTATTTTTAATTTTTATATTCCATGTTTAATATGTAAGTGTGTGAAATTTATGATACATGTAACAGCCACAAACTTCATTGACCAAAGTTGATTTGTTGTCATCCTTATTATTCGTCCTTGTTTTATTGTATCCTTGTATTATTCATCCAACATATAAAAACTTCAATAAATAGATAAATTAATTAAATATCTGGCAAACACAATATTAACACAAGCATATTTATAACATATTTATAACACATGCATATAAAATTAAATATAATAAAATATAACATATTTAAATTAAATAAAATATTTATAGAGAAATATTACATAATTGTAAATATATGCTATGAAAATATTATGAAATGTTATAAAACAAACATATAAAATTAAAATAATATGTACGTAAGAACATTACATTATTGCACAATAAATAATGCATAATAAAAATAATAGGCATATGCAATTAAAGAAATTTTACGTGAAAATAGGCACATGCAATTTGGAAGTAAATAAAACATATATATAACACATACATATAAAAAACGTGCAATTAGTAAACATACATATGAAATGAAGTTAAAGAAAAATGTAAAATACAGTAACATATACATGACAGTTCATTCCATGAAATACATTTCATTGGCCAACTCTTCTTGAATCATATTTCAGTTACTCTATCCATCTCGATATGAACCAAAAAAGAAGAAAGTTAATGAAATTTGTAAAAAATGCAATAAAATAATTATAATAATTATAATAAGCATATAAATCATTTACAACAGTTCACTTCACAAAATACTACATGGGCTGAAAAGTCCGGGGATTTTTAATGAAAACAAGCATTTTTTGGGCAAAGTTATATTTATTCCTCAACATAGTTGCCTTCGAGGGCGATACACTTAGTATAGCGATTTTCCAACATTTCGATGCCCTTTCTGTAGTACGAAACGTCCAAGCCTTCGAAATACACCTCGGTTTCCGCGATGATTTCCTCATTCGATGTGAATCTCTTCCCCTGGAGCCACCGCTTGAGGTTTGAGAACAGATAATAGTCGCTAGGGGTCAAGTCTGGATAATACGGTGGGTGAGTAACCAATTCGAAATTCGTAATTGGTCCAATTTGACAATCACTTTCAAGGACGTGTGTGACGGTGCGTTATCATGATGGTACAGAACGAAGGCGAAAGTAGCGCCACTTAAACGACTGTAGCTTGTAAACGAATGAACGAAATGTCATGAAACTTCATACATAAACTAGTGACAGATGAACTTCTCGAAATGAATCATGTTCATCTTCTAGTGGCGCCACGTATTGAAAAATCCCGGGACTTTTCAGCCCCCCCCCCCCATGTAGTATATTTCATTGACGAATTCTTCTTAAATCATATCTCAACTATTAGATCCATCTCAATGTGAATCAAAGAAGAAAGCCAATGTAAAAAAATAATTACGAATGCAATAAAATAATTACATTAAAACAATTATGAGCTCATAAATCATAAATTACAATTAGTATGTTATGAAAAAAAGGCTGTAGATAGAAAACGCAACAAATTAAGAATTATAAATGTAAATGTTTAAAAGTTTTCTTTTGAGTAATTGTTTTATTTATTATGTTGCGATAATGTGTAATAAATATGTATCTAGAGAAACAATTTTATTAAGAAATCTTTTGGGAAACATGGTTCAAACTATATTTTGTACCAACTGCAACAGAGATAATTATTCATATTTTTTTATAACAATTTTTTTTCAAAATTTTTGACAAATATTTCTTCTAATTTGTGAATGTAGTAACAAAAATCATTAGTTGGTATATTTAAATTACCAAATAAATCTCCATTTTCATTTTCGTAAATTCGAAAAGAATAATATAGAGTTAAGACAGCTTATTGTCATTTATAAAATTTTGACACACAGTACATGTATTGCTAAACATTTTTTTTACTAAAAAATCATAAGCATATTTAAATGCATTTTCCTTTGGCAGATCTATTGAGTAATAATCAATACAGGAATTTTTTAAATTTTGTATGTTGACGATGGAACAAATTCTGAAATTATGAACGTTTCTGTAGTTTGATGTTCCAATAATATTTAATAAATTATCATTATCATTTGCGTTTCTGAATGTTCTAATTCGTACTGAATAATTTTTTAAAAGAACTTGAACTGTATAAATGTTGCATTAAGACAGACTTGTTTCCGAATAGAGAAAACAATTTTCAATATTATCTTAGTCTGCATGTTCGGAGATAAGAAAAATTATAGTTTTTTAAAATCGTCCAAAGTTGAATTGTACTCTTAATTGTGATCTGCTAGCAATCTAAGCATTTTATTGTTTATTAACATATTTATTGTTATCGTTAATTACTTTAATAGATTTTTAAAAATTCAACAATTCAAAATTCATGTTTTGTAAAAATTGCATTTGTTTATCACTTTCAACAAAAACTTTTCCATATTCTTTAAGATTATTTACATTGGATGAATTTAATATAATACAAATAATTTGTCAAGATCAATGAATTTATATAGTTTCAACTGCTTCAGTTGAAAGAAAACTAAAAGATATCTGTGTGCACATGCCAATTGCTTCATGATTACTAAATATTTATGCAGCATATTTAATTTTTCTTAAAAAGTATATGGTTCTATATGAGACTTTGTTGCAAGAATTGCTTTCATCCATATTTATTTGTTTGCTGTCTCTTTTGTAAAATTCTATGATCCCACGAAGTTATTTTATTATCTATTTGAAATTTGTATTTTAATAAGTTATTTCGAGTTGCTTTTAATAAGTGTCGGGTATCAAAGATATATAAGATATAAGTCTTTCTCGATCTATTATAAAACTTGAATTATCTATTAAAATATTTAACATATGGGACAGTTAGATAAAATTTGAACCCATATCAGAAATGAAAGCATGCACAAAGCATCATTGTTTTTTAATTTTAATGTCAAATATATTTTTTTAAAATGTAGCAGAACCAGTTTCTATAAAGCAAATACAAACGAGCAGCTTCCAGCCAGTTTTCTGCAACGCTATATGCAATTATAATTAATGCACTTTTTGCTGGTACGGATGTTTTCCTATTACCAAAATCTTCAAAGCTAATTATCTCATCCCGCGATATATCATAAAATAAATAGCTTTTCAAGCTCATTTCATCTGTGTATAATACACAGTAGCGCTCCATTAATGGTAATGTATTCAATTTTACTTTAAATGCTTTAAAAAATTTGTCATTTATGCCAGGCACAATATTCCACTTTTGTGTAAATAATTGTAAAGAACGTACTAAAGGCAATGCTTAAGAAATACAATGACAAAGCGAATTTTTTTTAAATCACGAAGGCAAGTCAATAAATTTTTAGAAAAACATAGTAAAACATTTTTTTTGATCGATTCATATTTCTCAACATAGTTTCCTTTCAACTCGACACACTTGATCTAACGATTCTCCACTTTTTCTAGCGTAGCAGTTTCAATTGGACGTCTCAAAGTGCATCACATGTGGATGTACGATCACGTTTAAATTCATTTACCCAATTGTATACAGTCGCAAACGCTGGTGCAATGTGTTATGAACATTATCTAACTCGGCTTTGATTTCTTTCGGCATTAAACCTTTCATATGTAGATGTTTGATCACTGCACGAAACTTGTTTTTTTCTATTTTGCAAAAAATATAAAGGTTGTTCGCTTTAATCGTCTATCTAATCTATAGAAATGAAATCACGCGATGAATTCCGCTTAAAATTTGACAGTAATCAGCTAAGAGACTACTTGTCAAAATACTACTTGTCAAAAAGTAATATGACATGACTACGAATACTCTGACAGATTTTCTAAAAACTTGATGACTTGCCCTCGTATGTCACGTTTGTTTTTGCATTGTGCATCAATTTGTGACGCTAATATTTTATTAAAACTTTGTGATAACTTATGGCCTATTTTTTTTTAAAGTTTCTTGTTCGTAATCTCTTTGACTTATATGCTCTTCTTTTTTTCCTTCAAAAAAATTGTCGAATTGTTTCACAGAGCGTTTTGTTTTGTGCCTTCAATTTTGAGCTTCAAATATAGTTTCTTTTTCCTTGAGCTATCCTCCGACAATTTTATGTCCTGTTTTGTATCCTTGGATGTACTTCTGTAACAAGTTTAAATTCATATTGAGAAAAGATTTATTATTCTAATAATAGAAACAAATAGTAAAAGATTACTAAATAAAATACAAGATTATATAAAAAATTAAAATATATTATATTAATGTACATTAACATTATTTTGTATATATTGTATATTCTAATACAAACTTTATTTCATAAAAACATTGATAGTTTCTTTAACTCTTTAAAGCCCAGACACCGATTCTGTTGAGTAAAATTTTTTTTACAATATAATCTTTACAAATGTTCCTGATAAAGAATTTTGTTGTTTATCAAATAAAATTGTTCTTTTGAAGATATATATAATATAAATATATGTATATAAATATATATATGATACAACATAATCAAGTACATTCATATTTATATGTCAAGTACATTCATATTTATACGTGCATTCCAGAATTACAATTAAATATTTAAATTAATAATAAACACGATAAATCGATCTTGTACTTTAAAAAGGTAAAAAATAAGAAACTACTAATTGTTCTAATTATTGTTAGATATTTTCAATATGTATACAAAGTGAATAACAGTGTTACACAAAATCAAGTGTTAATATAAATGAATTTGTTTCAAACAATTACAATTACAATTGTAGTGATTTATTTAGTGAGAATACTGTTATTTTTTAAGTTAGAACAGCAATTCTAATTGTAAGTATGAATTAGTAAGTATGAATTAAAATATTATATCGACAAAATCACTGTATCAATATATATAAATAGTATTTAGGAAAAGTTCAAAGTGAATGTACTTAATTATGTATACTGGTCCTTACAGGGTTAAATAAGTAAAATTTGATGAAAATTAATAAATATTAATCTACACAAATAATAAAAATCTATATTCAATTTAATGTAATTTATAATAAATTAAGACTTACGATTTAAAACTATCTCAGCATCCACGTTATCAATAATAATTGGCAGTGTTTCTGCAGATTCCATATTACTGAAAGTATAAAGTTTGTTACACATTAAATCTTTTATTAAATGTACAAAAATATTATTTATTATCAGTTCTTTTCTGTATTTTACTCGGAGATTCTCTATCTATGTTTCTGCAACAAATATATATAACATTACAAAATAAACTATATTAATATATATATATAGAAAAAATTACTTAAATATAAAGTATTTGGAATAAATACTTTATATAACATACTCATTTGTTTCTATGTATTTCGGCTTCGATTTCCATGTGTTTCTCCAGATGCTTCTGCTGTATTTCTGCAGATTCCATATTGCTGAAAATATACAATTTTGTTACATTAAATTTTTTATTAAAAATAGAAAATATTATCTATTACCTGTTTTTTTCCTGTTATTTTACTTGCAGATTTTCCATCTATTTCTGCAACAAAAATATATGATTTCATAAGATTTGAAAATAAAATATCATATATATATATACGTGGATCGTTTGATAAATTTGGTAAATTTCCATGAAATGGCGTGACATCTCGAAAGATCCACTCTTCGAACCCCTTCAGGCCAAATTTCAGCCAGAAAGGATGCATAGTTCACGTTTGGTAGTCATTTGAAGCGAGATTGGCGCGCAAAAAAATGCTCTTCCATCAAAATAACGCGCCGTCCCACAAGTCGACCGTTGCAATGACAAAACTACGAATTGGGCTATGAATTGATTCCTCATCCACCCTATTTTCCGGATTTGGCCCCGTGTGATTTCTTTCTGTTCCCAAACTTAAAAACTTGGCTCGGTGGGAAGAAATTCTCGTCAATTGAGGAAGTCATTGTCGCCGTCAATGAGTATTTTGCAGACTTTGAGACAGCCTACTTCAAAAATGACTACCAAACGTGAACTATGCGTCCTTTCTGGCTGAAATTTGGCCTGAAAGGGTTCGAAAAGTAGAGATGTCGCGTCATCAAATAGATCGTAGCACCATTTCATGGAAATTTACCAAACTTATCAAAGACCCGTGCGTGTGTGTGTGTGTGTGTGTGTGTGTATGTATGTGTGTGTGTGTATGTATGTGTGTGTGTGTATGTATGTGTGTGTGTGTATGTATGTGTGTGTATGTGTGTGTGTGTGTATGTGTGTATGTGTGTGTGTGTGTATGTGTGTATGTGTGTGTGTGTGTATGTGTGTATGTGTGTGTGTGTGTATGTGTGTATGTGTGTGTGTGTGTATGTGTGTATGTGTGTGTGTGTGTATGTGTGTATGTGTGTGTGTGTGTATGTGTGTATGTGTGTGTGTGTGTATGTGTGTATGTGTGTGTGTGTGTATGTGTGTATGTGTGTGTGTGTGTATGTGTGTATGTGTGTGTGTGTGTGTGTGTAGAGAGAGAGAGAGAGAGAGAGAGAGAGAGAGAGAGAGAGAGAGAAGAGAGGAGGGAGGGGGGTACACAGACAAAAATACTTAAATACAAAGCATTTGAATTTAACATACACATAGTTATTATTTCCTGATTTCATAAATTATTTGTAATAATAAATAGAAAATAAAATATTGTTTTGCTCATTATCATTTATTAAAATGACTACATAGGTATAAATTATTTTTAAATTAATTTTTTAAATTAATAAACTACATTCCCTTTTATATTTTTATTGTATAAAAACAGACTTTGCGTTCACTAAAAAATAAATTAAATTATATAAGTAGAAACTCACATTCTAGCCCACAAAATATTGTCGATATGGCATCTGGATGAAGATGAGCTTCCATTTTATTTAATTTATATCATTTTTCTTCGAAATGCAAACGACACAACTGACAATTCTAATATGCATATTCTGAACCTTTTGGTTCTAAGTCCAACCTTTCACATGTTTATACTCATTGCAGCTTGTAACTATCTACAATTAGATATTTTATCAATAAGATATTTTATCAATAAAAATGTATCAATAAAAATAGAATTGAAAATTGATTTATATAAAGTATTGAAAACAACATACTTTTTATGTTCTTTTGGAAATTGGAAAAAATAATGCTCTAAATTAAATTTTTTTGTGCACGCTGGTACTGCATACTATACGTTTTTTCGTTTAATCATTTTGTTTTTTTTTTTACAATTTTTTGGAATTGACAGCACCTAAAACAGAAAGCTAAGATCAAAGTACTCTTCCAAGAGAATTGCCTATATAATTATATAAGTTTACTATTCTTTCAAAAAGAAATCTTTCTTGTTCGGTTTTTTTGTCATTTTCACTTCACTTTTTCATTTCACTTCACTTTTTCACAAGATTAGTCTCCTTGAGATTTCTCACACAATACTTATTACGCAGAGTCTGGAGATTCAAACTGCGCAGTAATCAGCAGTAATCTTCTGCGCAGATGTTTGACTTTTGACGCTTGCATGTAATGGCATCTTAATAAGTTTGTCGCATGCTCCAGAGAGCGCTCACAGGTAAAATAGCGGTTGGAGCAATTGCATTCATGTGCTCCAATATTCAGTGATACAAACGAATTTAGAACAAGTGAATATGTCACCTAATCTAATCCGTGAGACCACTCGGACATGTGCCTCGTTTCGTTTCGGGTATTTTGTATTTTATTTACATTACTTCGTAATGTAAATAAGATTAGCCTAGAGTGATAATTTTTATTATATGTTAGTTCGTTGACATTGGATGGGATTACATAAATACGTTTTTTTTTTTATTATCATGATGAAGACTTTGTAAGTCGAAACGAGGCACACGTTTAAAATTTATAACGTTATACAAATATAATGAAAGATAAATTTTATTAGTTAATTATATTTGCCATTTTTTTAAAAAGCATTGACATTTTAATTTATTGCATTGACATTTTAATTTATTGCATTGTATTGCATGAGCCTACTTTTCTATATAAAATTATATTATATTTTTATATTATATTATATTTTATTTTATTTTATTTTATTTTAACAATTCGAAGAGTGCGAACGTAGTACGCAAAAAGTTGTTGCGCGTAATGCGATACCGTAGAGATAAGGTGGAACGAAGGATGGAAAGAAGGAAGAATTAATTCATTGCGGACACACACACA